CTTTTTGGTTGAATTATTACTTATTCTTTAATATATTTTATTTTATATTTTTCTGTGTGAAAATGAGCTATTTATAGAATAAAAAATGCTCCCTAAGCAGCTTTTCCAGGCAAATACAACTAAGAGGAAATAAGTACTTATAAAAATTAAGAGGCGCTGCAGACAAAGCACATTCTAACTCTGTACAAGTTTAAACTCCAACGAAGCACACCATTACCCACAAGAGTAACATTATGGAGTTACAGATACTGGATATCTGGCAGATGAGAGGAAAACAACAGCAATGAGTCCCTCGTTCTCAGGTTTCCTGGATACAAAGCATAAACACATGCCATGATCTCTAAGAACATGGGGTTTAAGTGAAAGAATAGAGGATTTGAGTTTTTGCTTTCTTCCTTATGAATAATGCATTTCATATTATGCCAAAGCTTGCCAAAGCTTGCCAAAGCATTCTATGGTGGTATGAAGTCAGGAAGTCTCATACCATTTGACCCACCAATCAGTGGACTTCTGAGTTACACCAATGAGGTGCTGACTCCTGGCACGAGTATTATAATGTCTGTCACAATATGAAAGGTATTCACTTAACTGACACAAGACACAATTAGATCAACAGAAACATCTGTAGATTTCTATGTACACATCTATGATGGACTACAAGGGTTGGAGAACATCCAATTAAAGACATAACATATTTACACCACATGGAGAAACATATTACATATCAGGAGAAACCTGCTATAATTCTTTCCTTGCAGGTTAGGGGTAGGATTCCTTTTTCAAATGTCCTTATTCAAATATAATTTACATTAGTTAGATGACCTAAAAGTACACAATTCTGTGTTCCCTGGTGGATTCATAGGATTATGTAACCATCACCACAATCTCATCTTTACCCTAAAGTAAATTCATACCCATCGACTGTCACTTTCTACTCTCCACCCCTCATTACCTAAGCTATATACAGCCACTTAGTTACTGCTTTATTAACTAGCCACTGCATCTAATGTGTCTCATGGAAATTCCTTTTTTTTTTTTTACAATATCATAAGAATGAGAGTGGGCTTGAATCCTCAACTGTATGAATTACAAAAAAAAGGAGAGAGAGGGGGGGGGAGAAAGAAAAGGAAAGGAAAGGAAAGGAAAGGAAAGGAAAGGAAAGGAAAGGAAAGGAAAGGAAAGGAAAGGAAAGGAAAAAGGAAGAGAAAAACAAAAAAAAAAAAGACATATAATTGACTCTAGTAACATAGTGGCCTGGCAATCACCAGGCACTACTGCCCAGGGATAACAGAGTATGTTGTATGATTTACAGTAGTCAATTGCTTATGATTTTAAATACAAACATGAAGAAGGCAAGGCTTGCAGAAATTGGTACTCACAAGAACAGTGATATTTGCAGCCAATTGAATTCCTGACTTCATCTGGCTTACCATTCAAGCAACTTTGGACACATACAGGGATAGTGATGAGGCAGAGTTTATGAAGGTAGCCAATAGGTCTACACATGTGATGTCTTAGAACTAAGCTTGGTAATTCAGTGCTCAATAGATTCAATTTTTTTGCTTAGAATTCGTTCTGATGCCAACTTACCCCATGCCACATTTGATTGGTGTTTTGAAAATCTCTAATCATGTTTTCTCCTTGAAAACAATATATGGGGATTCAAGATACCATAATGTAGACAAGACAGCAATGATAAAATACAATTGATACTAGACCTGGAAATCAGCCTTTACTTTAGAGCCATATGCTATATAAATAGCAAAAGTGCTAATTTATTATGTTCATCCAGCACTCATGAAGCAGATTCATTCCTCTTCTATATTAAGAGGAAAAATTACAGTGGAGACAAAGCGCTGGTACTATATATGTCTAGAAAAATAAAGACTATCCTCATAGACTGTATATAATCTGTCATAAGTCAAAATGTTTAAGCCTCTAAGTGCATTGAAATCTGTATGAGCTGGAACAGTAGTTTGATTTTGTGTCCATACATGTAAGAAAGTGTGACCATGAAGGGGTCCAGAAACTTCCATGTTATACAAAAAGGAATCAAAGTGTGTTTGCTTGTAATACTGTTATATAATTTTACTTCTGGAGTATCACATATTTTCTGTCCTTTTAAAAAGTGTCCTGTTCAGTATTATTATGTCCAATCAGAGAACTCATGATACACAACATTTTCATACTTGGGAAATGTTAACACGTTACATTCCTTGCTTTAAAACATGAAAGAATTAATCAAAGGCAACCTCTTTGTTCATTTTCCTTTGACCCATGAGACCATTTAAATGATGTGGTTTGCATGCAACACCTCTTGGTGTCCCAGAAGCCTCTGCATTCTCCATCTGTGTGTGTCTGTGTATTTACACCCAGGCTTCTCTCCTCTTGGCACCATTTTGTATTTGCATGAGAATTCATAATTGTTTGCATGGAAAGTCCTCCGTAATGTTGACAAGAAGTGTCTAACCCATGATATCACATGCCATTAATTCTTACATGATATTTTTCTTTTACTTTCAGTTACTGGAGTTTAAATATGCTTAAAATGTAAAAGTAGCATGACACTGGAGTGATGCAAGAATCCGAAATGTTCCTTTAAGGAAACATGGGGCACTTCCCAGCCTTGTCTGTGGCTGCCAGGTCTCAATTACAAGTTATGAGAAAACTTCATTAAATACAGGTGCTGTCTGCAGACTTAAGTTCCAAGAAAGCAGTGCTTTAAAATGAAATATAAACCTTTTGTTGATCTGGCATAAAATTAAGCTCCTCTGACTTTGGTGAAAGACATATCAGTACATCAGTGTTTTCTGAATGAACATGATCAGAGAAGCATAAGATTTTTTTTCAGTCCATTAAACTTCTAACTAATATGGGCACATGACTACACCCTACCCATGGGACAAAATGCTCATCTCTCAAATAATTACTAATTTTTTCCAAGCTGTCACCTCTCTGGCTCCATGTTTTTTCCCATCAGTGGCCAATATAACCCTGGGTTAAAATACCCCTTTTCACATTATCGTTGGCAATTCCATTTAAAACCTGTGCAACTAAGAAAACTTGTTCCATGGAAATTTTTTCTAGTGTTTTTCAGCAGCTAAAAGATTCAAATCAGTCAAGTATGGATGTTAATCAGACTGATGGGACATTTTTGAAACATTACAGATTATGAAATTAATAAGATATTTCACAAACAATCCCACAAAGCATTTGTGTACCAACAATCAACATGTAATAAATTAAATTTTCTTTAAAAATCTACTGAACAAGCATGTGCTAATCAATTGTGTGAACAAGTTTTAATAACTATAGTATATATATTTTATTTTTAATCCAGCCCTCTTTCAACTAATAGACAGCTTGTACTTTAAAGGTATTCAGTATTCATCCTTACATTTTTTCCCTTTACCAAAGTGTAGATGGGCAAATGTCATTTCTCTCATGCTTGAGTGATCACCAAGTAAATACCATGTTAGCAGCTTCCTGTTGATTGCCTGCTGGCTGTCGCCAACAAACTTTGATACTAGCATTGGACTCAACCTCTCTGTGCTTCTCAATCTAGTCTGTAATAAAAATGTGGAACTAAATTATCTTTTGAATTAAAATATTACACTATAATTACCATGTATCCTAAATCTATATGCCTCCTTTTGCACTTTTAATTAAAGCCAAGCTGAAATAATTCAAATTTAATATTAAGTCGCTTAGACAATGAGAAGAAAAACTATTTTTCCTATAGTCATTTTATGTCTGACAGTGACAAAATGAGAAGTGTATAGTATTTTTTGTTGGTACTACCTCATGCACTCTCAGCACCTAAGAAGGGCGATGACTTGAAGACGAAGATTCAGAAGTTCAGAGAGATTCAGTTGCTTGTCAAGCTGTTAAACTAGGATAAAGAGCCTGAATACCCCACCATAAGACATCTCTGTCACTCATCCACAAAGACTGTTGTGACTGTAAAGCCATGTTCCCCAGGTGTCACTATCAAGACTTGGCACTCCTTGAAAATCAAGTCTGCCTTTTGCATCCTCCAGCACCTTTGCAGAGTGTCCGCTTGCGTCACTGCAGCTCTCTGTGCTTTTACAAACTAGTTGTTTTGTCAGCATGAGTGTGACAACAATTAGACGTCCCCTGTTTTTGCCCCATGCCTTTTCTCCTTCACAGTCATTCAATGACAAGCGTAAAAAGAGCTTCATCTTTTCACGAAAATTCCCATTCTACAAGAACAAGGAGCAGAGTGAGCAGGAAACCAGTGATCCTGAACGTAAGTAGATTCTTGAAGATAATGTCACATGCAACACAAGACAAAAAAAATCTTCCAGGGCAACACTCATGACAGGCTTTCCCACACCACACATCTAGGCAAACAACATGGCAGGCAGGCAGGCAGGTTTTACTACTGTGACCAGTGTTTGACTGCAATCTGGATCCTTCCTTTCCTAGGGCTGTGTTTTGCACAAAGAACTAAAAGGGGCCTTGACAAAGCTGGGGCTTCAATCCCAACCAGTATTTCTTTGAGACCAGAAACAGGCTTGACTTAATCATGCAACTCCCTAAGGCCTGACATATTAGATTACATCACCACATATGTATTTTGTCTTGGATTCAAGCTTGGTGCATTTGTACCCTCTTCCCCTCTTGGAAGCCATTCAATACAGGCTGAGACGGGAGCTTGTACTGGTGGATGCAGAATTTGTTCTGAAATTTGGAGTGAGGATATTCTTCTACAGTGAACAAAATTCCATTCACTGATATATATATATTTCCCTTCCCACAATCTCTGGCTTCAACTTACAAGTCAAAAATTTCCTTTTATTTCTCAGCCCAGGGAGTTTGGGGTGAGTGTTATTTCTGAAGGTAAGACGGTAGGATCCAGAGTGCTTGGGCAACACGGTCCGTCATGGTAGTATCCATTTCAATTCCACTGACTTCTGCCTTCCTCTTCCGTGGCTGTTCTTCCTCTCTCATTGCTCTCTCTGGGGACTTCCATGCAGGACATCCCCGGATTAGGTGACGACGGTTATGGAACAAAGACTCTGAGTAAGTTTCCAGGAATGGTCACTGTTAACTTTTCCTTTCCTTTCCTTTCCTTTCCTTTTGAGTTTGGCTTTTGTTCCTTTTCTTGAGGGCCTTTCATTCCTAGCATGCACACGATACGAGTTTCATTTGTTACCTAGCTGTGAATGCTCCTACGAAATAATTTTTGGTCATTTTGTTCTGCATGTCAGCATTTAAAAGCAAAGTGTGTCAGGCAGTCTAATCCTGCTGCATTTAGCACCTCCCCTTTCTGACTATATGACAATGGCCGGCATGGTCTGGATGCCCATCATGGCATCACTTGCTCAGCCACCAACTTTGTTTCACAGAGCAAAAGACCATGTTGCAAAGAAAGGGTGAGCTAAGTGTTCTAGAATGGCAAAGTAGAAATATACTTTATATTCTTTCTTCTGCCTTTCAACAGTGGAAAGATGTAATGACCTTGCCCGATTCTATAGTTGAGCTATACTTTGCTACTAATAAAGGAGCTGTCTTCTAGTCAAACGCAACGTGCATTCTCAAAAAAAACTAAATATTAAGCTATCCAAGCCTTAATTCTTTGTTATTAACTTGACTGATTTCTTTTTCTCTGACTTGCAGTGGTCCTGCTTGAACCGTTTGTATAATAGTTTTAGATAAATATTAACATCTTTTCCTATCAATAAGTTACCAGCTGCATTATATTGTCAGGCCTTCATCTTGTAGTATAACATGAAAAATAAGATATATTAGACCTTTACATTTTCTACTTATTCATGTCTTTGGTCTATGTCTCGTTACACTTAGCAATTAAGAACAGGTTTCTGTGTCTCAAAATCCTATGCTATGATTATGCCTTCCTTTAACCCTAACCCAACTCTAGAAGCATCAGTGGAATAAGAACAGGATGTTGTATCTTTTGCAAATGTATCACATATTCAATTTTGCTTTGCTTGTCTGAATGTAATACGGGAGATGTTTTTAGTTGTTCATTTCATTTTATAAAGCAAACTACCATTGAGTTGGATTTCACATTGAAGGGCTGTTTACATAAGCCTGTGCATTTTCAATAGCTGTTTACATAAACCTGTGCGGTGATGCCTGCCTTTCGGGGTTCACGTTTTGACTCTCACTGGCCTGTTTTAGACATGTAGCTGTAGAAAACAAAATCTGGTTGAGTGCTGCTCTCCTTAAAGATGAAAACTTTATCTTTGAAATATTACAGAGAATGTAGTATGAAATTTATACATCAATTTTAGCATCATCTGGATGTCATCTAGCACTACTGGTGGGAACTGAGATACTTTAGATTTGGAAGGGAAAGAGGTCATTTTAGCATGTTGCTAATAAAAATATATATAATGCCCTGTTGAATCAAGAATGTCCAGATATTTGCTTACTTTTAAAAAAACTGAACAGATTTAATTAATGGGAAAAAATCAGTCATGCCTTATATCACAGTTTCAAAGTAGATCAGAATGCCCAGCGAAGGTGCCGTCCATTACCAGTACATATCTCACTGTGTACTCAGCAATAGCGAGCAGCCTTCCATGGATTCATACCATCACCTTTCCCATGAGTCCTTGGATTTATTAAATATATGCCCAAATTAACAGCACAGCTCCGACCGTAAAGTCACACAGAAGAATGGTTTGTGCTATAGAATCAATCCCCTCAACAGGAAAAATGTATATATCAAAGCAATTTAAAGCACTTTTTTTTTTGCTGTTAAGAGAGTAATTATCTTCTTATTCTCTTTCTTAAATATTGCCAAATAGTTGAAAGTCAAGTAGTCGCATATATATCATTTTAATGCTGTGACATATGAAGTTACACACAACCAACAAGTCAGCTGAACAACAATATACATATCTCTCTTATGTTAACCAAGTCCTTCAGGAGGCATTAAACATAACTCATGCCAAATCCTGCACTGGGTATCAAGCCCATTTATCTTCTGTCTGCTCCATTCTCCCAGAATTTAATAGCTATTCCAGCAAGGATAGTAGAATAAAAATTAAGTCATGAAACATTTCTCAGAGACTTATTGCTTCCTCCCATATTTTCTACTCACTGAAGCAGGAAAGAGCCGCTAGAATCCCTTCTAGACCTGAGGATTTGCTTGAAAAGTATTTGAATAGAAAATAAAATTGAAGGGACTCCAGGGATCAGCTGGTAAATGCAGTCTTCAAAATAATTAAGGGCTAAAACAGAGACCCAGAAAATTGCCTACACAACAGTGGATACACACTGTCCTCCCTATACCACTCTATGGATGTGTCACACTATTTATAGAAAGAATATCACTTGGGTTTCTACTGTTTGATAATGAGAGGTACTTTTTTTATTTCTTAAAACAGTGATATCATGTAAACTGGCAATAAAGTTTTCATCTTTCTCTTATCTGGATTCTCTTAGTGCGATCTCTTCTACAGCCTTTCACTTGCCTTTGCTTACATTTCCAGTAGCTTTGCATGGGTGTGTCCTTTCCGTTCTGGCTGCTCTCTGATGCTTGATCCTTCTTTAATTTGCTGTGCTGTCCTTGCAGAACACGTCTCTTCTAATGCCAGCGATAGCGAAAGTAGCTGCCGTAAGTTACTGCTTGGGCTTGTGGTTCTTTTCTTTGCGGTTGCCCCCATTGCCTGTGGTAGTCATTTCGCTGCCTTTTTTGTCATCGTTCTCCAAAGCAAATGGCTTGAAACAAAATCAGCATTTGATGTGGAAAGATACAGATGACACAAGTACCACCCATGAACCTTAACATGATGTGTGCACAAAGGGGCAGATTTTCTAATACCAATTCCAACCTCAACTGGTTGAGACTCCCATGCTGGATGATCTTGACATCCAATCAGCTGGAATCAATGTAACCTCCCTGGAAGAGAGAAAGTCATGATTCTATTCTCCTCCTTTTGCTCTTTCCCTTCTGCTCTTGGAACAGAAATATTTCTAACTTACGGTGTTCTGTAAAATCAGGCACCTTTTGTATCAGTTTCTCCTTGATTAATATTTTAAGACACATAGCATTTCTATGTGTCTAACCTTATTTGGAGAATGGTAGGGAAGTTGATGAAAATGCTTCATCTAATGCTGAAAGAATTTTTAAAGCTTCATAGGTCACTAAATATAACTGAAAAAGGTAGGTAACTACTTTAAAATGTTCTCTGGTCACCTCAAGCCATTTGTTTAATGTATGGAAATATTCACCAAATAACAAGCACATCCTTCTAATCAGCCCTCATGGTTTCCTGCTGCCTACTTACTGGTCTTTGGTGACTAATACAAGTACCTATTACGACTGGGGTCCTTATGTCTTTACTATTAACTTGTAATCCTTAGCAAAATGGGTTGCCCAAGAAAACAGTTGGCAAGGGTATCAGAAAACTGCAAGCCCAATATATGACCCACAGAAATAAATACCAATGCAGAAATTGGTATTGTCTTCTGCTTGAATACTAATTGAAAAGTAGAATTGTTTGGGGCATCTCTGTTCCATCCAGCTATAGTATGATGTATTATAAAACCATGCCTTTGGAAGCAGAGTGCTGATTCATACATATGATCTGGAGTTGGAGACGGGTTTTGAAGGAGTCTGGTAGACAGTGGAAAACATATACACTAGAGACAGATGTTAGGTAGTGATAGGGATCAGAAAAGGAAGGTGACACGGACCAAAGACTGAAATGACAAACTTGCAACAAAATGCTCAAGCAGAATATTAAAGTTGCATAATTGTCATATTGATGAAAGTGTTATTAAGAGAGAAAGTTCCATAAGTCTCACTGATGGAAAGATTCAGAGTTCTTGCACTCAACATGGTTGCAATCTTCCTACTCTTATGGTTAACCCAACGTTAGGATAAAGAAAAACCGCCTTTCTCATTTCTCATTTCTCATTGTTTTTTTCAATTCAGAAACTAGCCAAGAAAGAAGGGCCAAAGATTATCTCAATGACTGCATAAGCCACTCTTGATTTTTCATGGGGAGAAATGTGACTTACTGGTTTAGTTTCATGAAGACCACTAACACTAATTTCCTTGATTTTTCAGTTTTCAAGGACTTTGCTCCCATTAAGCACATAGAAAGGGAGATAGCATGCCTTGTTCTTTGTTCCTCTTTATGGGGTATACCTATAGTAACTACCTTCTCTTTGGGAAGTTACAGTTTTAGAATATTTTTTCCAGAACCACTAAGTCATAGGATTTAAGATTTAAGCCTCAGCTTCAAGCTTTTGGGGTGATGTGCCACATGACACCAACCCTATTTTATTCTCCCAAATTACAGCTGCATGCAAATACTAATTGAGAGAATGAAGGATATAATTCTACACCCCATAACCTACCTATGAGAAGAGAGTTGGAGTTGGAATCATTATGTTAGTAAGGCAGATGTATGCCTACAAGCCTCTACTTCTAAAACATAATTCAGCTATCTGCTACACCAACTAAAACAGAATCATTATATTCAGCATGTCAAATTACAGAGGGTCAAACATGCAAGATTCCCTCCAAAGTTAAAAGCAACAGTCAAGACTTCATTTGGCAGCTTCTGCAAGCAAGGTTGCCTTTCTCAGCACTATAAAAAACAATATGAAAATTGAACAAGGCTGGATCTCAGTGCACATGTCCTGCGAGAAAGAGTTCAATAAATGAACGGGAGTGCCACTCCAGGACAAGCAACACAGCTGCACTACTTCCAGACAGGAAGTGACCTGTGTGCTCCACTTTGAAAAGAAGAGTACTCGTCAAAAGGGAAAAAGGAACTTCCTGTAAGGGGCAGTGCCACGACAAAAAGACAGAAGCATGGCCAAGACATATGTTCTAGAAAGAAGCAACTTTGATATTCTTCCACTAAATTTCTGGCTTTTGTTATAATCTGGCTTTTTTATATCTCATGAATAGTAATAGAAACAATTATGGATAGACTCTTTGCCAATATGAAAAGTGTTCAATCTGGAGACAGGATAGCTTTATGAAAAGTGGATGATACAAAATTGTCCAAGGCTACTGTACTGCACAGTGCACAGAGCCCCATTCACACTGTAGTCTGGAGACACACAACCCTGCACATGCATGTCTACAAGCTTCCACTTCTAAAACATATTTTGGACATCTGCTGCACTAAATCAAGCATTACTTTTCCAAGTAAAACTATATTGAGTAGCAGCTAAAATGTTAATTAATTAACATGCATATTGCCTAATTATATAAATGTCACTTTCAAAACCTTAACTATTGAACAGTTCCCTATTTCTGTCTACCAATAAAGCAGTAAAGTTAAGGCTCATTGTTTTGGCCTTTCTGTATATACCTTCCAAATGTCCTTGTATTTGGAGGCAGTAAATACCAAACGGGAATTATCAACACCCGACAAACTTCCACAGCTAATGACCCACCTTCCCAAAGCTCCATCAAGCTCTTTACACAAAAACGGATATGTGGGAGTTGGCAATTATCCTTCTTGTCCATTGGTATTCATCAGTTAAGTTAGGATATTCCAAATGAGGATCTTGAGGAAATGGCCTGAGTGTAGTCTCTGAGATGAGGAGACCCCAGACTTCTCTGCAAAAGTTGGTAACCCTGACCTTCATACTTTCTGTGCTACTCCACTCTTCACAAGCATTGCCCATGGCTACCTTTAGTTCTTTCATCTTGATTATCTCATCTGACTAGTGTGATGATGCTATTACTAGGGAGGTCTTACCTTGACAGCCTACTTTGTACAGGAGTCAGCTAGAGCCCTGAGGGGCTTTGTACCTCACCAGTAAGCGGTAGCCCTGAAGCTGGTGATTCTGGCTCCCGTGCACTCTTCACCCTATGGTTTATAAGAAACTCAGCTTCTTGCTATGTAAGCCAATACTTTGCAACCATTCTGTACCACTCACCCGATTATTAAGGCAAAACCTGCTTCTAATGTTAACTATATACTAAGCCTGAGTTTAATGGCTTTCTCTTGGTTGAGTAATTTAATCTTCTGACTATCCTGTGGAGGCACTGAGCTAACAAATAGATAGAAATCAAGATGTCAACGGTAGCCAATTGGAAATAGCTGCCTGAAGCATTGTATAGAGGAGCTAGAGAGATGGCTCACCAGTTAAGAATACTGGCTATTCTTCCGGAAGATCTGAGTTTGATTCCCAGTAAACACATGGAGACTTACAACTGTCTATAACTCTCATTCAAAGAGGATCCAACCCCCTTTTTGGCCTCCACAGGCACCAGGCATGCAAGGATGCATAGACATGCGTGTAGGCAAAACATCCAGACTAGTAAAAGAAGAAGAAAATAAGAAATGAGCATAAAAGATCTTTGTGGCCACACTTCAGGCAGTTACTGCTGTATGAGTCCCACTGAGGGCACAGAATGGAGGAATGCCACCATGGGCTCCATACTCGCCACCCTAACATGTCCTGGTGCTAACATTCTCAGACTCTGGGAAGCAGACTGATTCTTAATAGCCATCAGGTGCAAGCACTAAGAAGTAAATTTAGAATGTTATACACAACATTAACAGCCCCAGCCCCATCCCACCCCTTTGATTTTTTGTTTCCAAAACCCCAGAAGAACAGAAGCTTCTTTTTTCTCTCTCGGGAAAGAGGGCTAGGGTCTTGCTCTAGCCATGCCTCGCTGCAGCAGGCGCCTGATTCACATACCCAGTGTTGTGCAGGGTTCTGTTAGAAAACAACTCTGCCAAGTGTCTGACAGCTGCAAACCCACAGCCTGTGCTGCTTGCCCACTGCCAACCACGAAGTTGCCAAAACAAGACCAAGAATAGTTTGTACCTTTTGCCAGCTGTTATTCTAAGTGCCAAACTCTTGTGAGGAGGGAGAAAGAAAGAGAGAGAATCTAACTAAGGGTGATTATGGAGATGTTATACCAACAAAGGGTAAGAGAAAGCCCTGGTGTTTACAGGCAGACCTCTTTGGACGTCTCCGGGCCTCTTGGTGACTCTGCCTTCTTTTGTGGCCCACGCCCTTTGTTTATTGCAAGCTCTATTGAGTCCCATGGAAAACTGTACATCTCCCATCCTACTGAGACAGTATAATATACTCAACAGAGAAAAACCGATGTGGATTTAAATCTTGGCTCTGCCACTTAATAGCTAAGCAAATGGACCTCATTGAAGACTTGAACCTCAGCTTCTCCATATCTAAAATGGGTCACCAGAGTACCAACTACCCAAGAAATTTAGTAGAAATAAGAAGCCAGTGATAGGAAAGCAAAGGCCCTGAAGAATGACATGGAGACATGCATTTTTTTTTCTCTCTCTCTTCATTGCCTTAGGGTTTGTTCTTTGTACTCTGGTTCTTCTCCACTGCTCACTGGGTCTTTTTTGACTAGAGCATGGAAATTGGCATATGGTGCTGAATTCATAGCTCTTATATAACCTCAACCTCACAGCTTCTCCAACAGCTTCCTTCCCATGTACACACAGTACATGTTTGCACAGGGCCATAACAATCGGGATGCTTAGAGGATGATATGTTACCACCTGCCAGTACTACCGCTCTGAATGAAAACAAGTTCCTTCCATAAGAAACGTACCACAAGACAGTGGATAAACAATTCTCTCAAGAAAGAAAAGCTGTGCTTGTCCCGGTTTTCTGAATCACATGTGGTACAGACTGACATCAGATGTTATTTAAGATTTGCGTTTGGAAGATCCCATCAGGGTGATCTGCAGCATGACTGGAAAGAGATTCAAATAGAAGCATGACGTGTTACGGTTATTTAGAGGAAACTGTATTTCCCATAAGTGAAGTGATCATATTCACAGACATGAGGAGCAGAGCCTTTCTCTGCGCTCATTACTCATCTTGTTTTTCACAACGGAAATCACGGTGTGAATGCTCTGTCATCTTTAAGTGCTGGAATCACAGTGATGGATGGGGCTTTGCCTTTGTGCTCATGGAAGGACCAGTGTAGAGGGGAGACTATGACAACAACCACCTGACACCTGAAGCTTTATCTCACTATTGGGATTCTCCTGATAGTTCCCAGGCCTTCCCTATAAAGTGAGAGTCTATTGCCACCATTACGGAACCATGCTACTCTCCCTCCAACTTTTTCTCCACCCATCTTGCAAATGGCGATCAGAAGACCAGATCAGAAGACCAAGGCTTTAGCATCAATCCCAACAGCAAGCCCTCTTCAAGGTAGATGTAAAGCATGACTTTAGTTTGCAGCCATTTCTTACCACTACCAAGGCTCCATAGAATGCCTCCGTACTCTACACTTACTAACATATCAAAAGAACTACCTAAATCAGCTGCAGGTATTGAAACTATCCATGCAGTTACCACCTTTTGTGAAAACAGCTCGCTTTCCCCTCGTGCTGGAGCTATGAAAGAGAAACTCATATTGGCAGACTAAATATGTCTGGAATGGTCAACCTATAGACTCTGTAGTACAGTATAAAGCAATGAGATTCATTGTCTTTTGGCCTTGGAAAGGACAACCTCCTATCCCAAACCTCCTCCAACAGATACTGAACATCCGTAACCTATCTTCACACCAAAGGTTGGTCAACACTAAACCTAATATAAATATAGAAGCAGAACATTTGGGATTTGCAGCTGAGCTAAAGCATCCCCTGACCAACTAGCTGGTCTAGTGTATAAATTTGATTTAAAACTATTGCCAAAGTTGACTCAAGGCCAACCCTGAAACAGAGGACATGAATCAAATGCTGGAAAATCACTGCTGCCCTTACTTCCCATCCTGAAGCTTCAGACATGAGGTAGCAGCAATCTTAACAGCCTAGAACACACCCCTCAGGTTGCAGCAGAGATAAGAACTGGAAGCAGGGTCTCCCACTTGTTAAGTTTATGCTCTGCCTCACACCTATAACCCCAGTATCCTCAGTTTCAATCCAATTTAACTGACCAAGGACAGATTACTGTTGAGTAAGTAGTAGACTAAACCTCTAACATCCTGTAGTAATATTCTGATAAAGTTTATATATCTTAAATGAAATAGACACTTGCTTTTGGACCATATACTTAGAAAAATAAAATAGAAGATAGAAGATAAATTAAAGGAATCAGAAATTCTGACAAAGTAGCTTGAAATTGTTGGATAGACTCTTTCCTAAGTGGCTTTATTTGTAATGGTTGGTGTAGAGGCATGACACTCCATTTCTTTTTTTCTTTTTTCTTTTTTTAATTTGCTCTGTGTATCAGTTTATTGCCACTTAGTTCCCTTGCTATAAATCTGACTTAGTTCACAGTACAATGATGGTAGGTGCATGTGGAGAAAAAGGCCAGTCTCCTCTAATATCAGATAAAAAGCACTTTCTCAGATCATTGGCCCAGAGTAGAGAGCTAGCAGTCCGTTATCACAGAGTTACGACTGTGTGATAACTAAACACTAGAGCTTTATGAAGACAGAGGGAATTTTGAATGGTTCAAGGAGAGAGCACAAGGAAAATTAACCCTCCGTTGTATATTTCCTGTGTTTCTGAGCAGGAACTATAGCTCTCAGTGTGGCTGGTCATTTGTCAACTATAATTTTCCTTTCTTTTCTCTCAGGAGGACAAGAAGATCTCATTCTTTCCTATGAACCTGTCACAAGGCAGGAAAGTAAGTTTCCTGGCATGGCCATGTTCCTGATTTCCGGGCTGTGACAGGTGACACCAAACTCTGCTTAATACTCAGACCCAGGCTCAGCAACAGCTCCCAAGAGGACAGACAGAACAGTCCTTCAATGGTCTCAGTAAAAAGGCACATGTCCAAATCACTTAAGGGTTTGAGCTGGAGGGCTGATGGGGAAGAGCTCAGGGCAGCTGCTGCCAGCCCAGCTTTCCTAACAGACCTCAGAGGCAGGCCGCCTACAGACTGCTCCTGGAGTCTGAGTCTACCTCTCTGGAGATGTTCATACAGAGGCTGATAGTGACGTGCAGAGAAGTTGCAGAGAACATTGAAGCATCAGATGGAGAGTGACACCAAAATAGACTAAATTACCTTCAAAAACACAAAGGAATCAGGAAGCCCCAGTGGATACAGATCCATAAAGTGTCTCTACTAGTAACAATGATTTTAAACAATGGCTGAAAACCGGGTTGGGGTTCTTTCTCCTAGGCTCCCTAAATCTCGGATGTTTTGACTTTGGGTTAAAATCCAAAAGAAACAAAACTCCTGGTCCTTTTCATTGGCAGCTGCTGCAGCTGCTTTATTCTTTGTTAGTAAATTCCAGAAAGCAGCAGAGTCAACATCCTAAGGGCTAAATATGCATTTCTGCATGCAGGGCTTTATGGGTAATTTGCCCCCAGGTTAAGGTCCTTAGCACATCTTAGTAGCTGGCAGTTTGCCATGAAGAACCATGTCTGCAAAAGTGCAGGACTGCACCCGCATTCCAGGATTTTAAATCTCCCTCTTCAACTGCATCTTCCTTTCTCTGTCTGCAGTAAACTACACCCGGCCAGTGATTATCCTGGGCCCCATGAAGGATCGAATTAATGACGACTTGATATCTGAATTTCCTGATAAATTTGGCTCCTGTGTGCCTCGTAAGTGTCACTTCTTTTCTGTGGGCTAAAGCTGGAGTCCTTGGTGCATAATCAAATATAATCTTGCCCCTTCAAGAAATGTGTCTGGTGTGATTCATATGTCATCAATTACCCATTATCTGAGCATGGGACCTCATGAATCCACTTATTGCTTTTCATCTGGGCTGTCACACGTATTGTTTTCTGTTGAAAAGAACTGACCTTCATCCCCAGAAGATAACAAGACCTCCTGAGACCTCTCCTACCACTTGAGACAGCAAGCTATCTATAAGCCTAAATACCACTGTAGCATCTGTAGGGGCAATAAGAAGCAAAAACACACACCTGAAATTGTCTCTGAATGACTTAGTACAGTGTGTCAGTCCTCAAGCCAAGCAAGCAGTCTTGCCCTGGTGTTTTGATAGCCCCAGGTTATCAAGGATTATATATATCATATATCATGTATTATGTATTCTATATATAACATCGCCTTCAGGTAGGAAGGGGTGAGTGAAAACTTGTTTGCAGCATCTGCCCATCACTTTTGAGAGAACTAAATGAGGACTTAGTTACTGAACTTGCCCTTCCGCCCGGCACACTTTTTCCATTTTCTTTTTCTGTTTTTATTTCATTAATTGCACTGTTCTATGGTAGTAAGTACATATTGATTATACAGAATTTAAAAAAAAGTTTGCCAAGAAACTGAAAAGTATACATAATCCCACATAATACCCAGAAATAAAATCATTCTTCCTTCCAGTATATTTTTCATGTATTTAAATCTTTAAATCTAAGTTTTTATATAATGATTTAAAATAATTATAGTCACAAAAAATGTATAGGCCTTTTAAATTCCCTTTCCTTTTTGATATAATGGGCTATAGTGAAATATAATTATGTGTTATAAATTACTGTAGTGAATGTATTTTTTTATTTTTTGATCAATTTAAAGATGAATATTTAGAAAAAACCTGATTTTAAGGTTGAATATATATTAACTTTTTAAAGCTATATAGCTATTTCTCCTTTATCTTAACAAAATATTAATATAAAATTGTTAGATTTGCTGACTTTCGGTCCAATCTGAACAATGATTCTCTTATTATACATAAATGTAAGCCTCTAAATATATTCATAATTACATGCCACATGTTCTTGTGTCTTTCATAATCTATTTTTTTCTGTGTCTTGTATTGTAGTGTTAAATATTTTGAGACAGTGGCTATTTGGAGACAGGATCTCACTGTGTGGTCTTTACTAGTCTGGAACTCATAACCTTCTTGCTTCTGAATCCTGAGTGACAGAATTACATGTGTATAGGCTCACCCTCAGGTGTGGTGCCGTCTTGCGGAGAGTCTGGACTGTGTTATCTTCCTTTATAGAGTATTTTTGTTTTAGAAAGCAATAATGTACTGACAGATCATCTTGTACTTGCAAGTTGCATTTAGAGCTGTGAAGATGGGCCTCAATCCTTCTGATATGTGGCTCTTTCTGCTACTCCAAATGCCCAATTTTATATGAACTGCAGTATCTTCTAACACTGAGAGGCCTCTGGACTGTCCACTTAGACACAGCATTGAGGCAAAGAGGAAGGATAAATAGAGATTTGCCCTCACACAGTCCTCACCCCTTATAATTACAGCTGTGTCTGACACCTGAAACAAGTTAACTCTTGTATTTTGTCCTGTAATATCATTGCTTCTTTGGGATGGTAAGGCTATGACTCATTGCTATGGCCCATGGTATTACATATGACATATATCCATGTATCTGTGATGAAGAATGAATGGAGAAAATATCATCTGGAAAAATGTTTGTAATTTAAATGTCTCACTTTCATCGTTTCTTCTTTTTAAAGATACTACGAGGCCAAAGCGTGACTACGAAGTCGACGGCAGAGACTATCACTTTGTCATTTCTAGAGAACAAATGGAGAAAGATATCCAAGAGCACAAATTTATAGAAGCTGGCCAGTACAATGACAATTTATATGGAACCAGTGTGCAGTCTGTGAGATTTGTAGCAGAAAGGGTATGTTTGCCAATCCTCTCACAACTCCCCTAAAGAAGGTTTCTGGGAGCAAACTGCTTTGGTCATTGCTCCTTCTTCATTGCAAATTAATGTCCATGCAGAAAATTACCTTAAAGCGGTGTCATTAATTTTTAATTTAAATAGAATATCCTGGCTGATTTGCAGATGAAGAAAACAGAGGATACCCATTAACCCAAAGACAGTTAACAGCTGTGGATTATGGGGAATTGGTTTGTTCTTGGCTCACTATCTGACCCAGATTAATAAGCCTGAATTTATTTATTAAGAGAGCTTTGCTACTCTTATTTTCCTGGATACCCTGAGTTTGTTTTTCCTCAGAAAACTTAGCATTGTCATGGTGGAAGGGAGATTCATGAGAGAGCGGTCTAGTCTTGTTGCCAGAAATTTTGACTTTGAAGGGGCATTGATACTGCAGTTTCCTTCCTCTTAACAATATCAGAAGCATGGAAAAGAGGAGAATATTGAATGGAATCTTGGAGAGGAAACCACTTTTCTGTGCCTTTAAGATCTGCCCATACATAGAGCCTATCTCCTATAACAACATATGAATAATCCATAGGAAGAAAAAATTGTCTGTCTGTTTAACTCAGTGTGACCCCTCCTTTTGATGTTTTCTTCCTTTTGATATACTTATGAATTAAACAACTCACTTCCTCCACAGAGACCCAACATAATAGGTATATAGTTCTGGTTTTAAGGTGAGTGGAGTAAGAGAAAACTGGAAATTAGAAAGAAAGAAGAGACCCATGAAAAATTCATTGACCTGGGACGACAGAATGAAAGAAAACAAGACATCTTACCAAGAGCATCTCCAAAGCCAGGGTGCGCAGGGAGGAGTTGTCCTCCTGGCAGGAGTAAGAGATGAAAAGAGCTACTCAGCAAACCCTGCAATATAGATGCTGGCAATTCTGACTACTGGAAAATTCCCTTTAGATAAACAACCTGAGATCTATACAGTAGCCTTGTTTTGGAAAAGGATTTCCTATCTTTCCCCAGAAGACATTCAACATGCCAGACCCAGAGCCACCTAGGGAGAAAAGTTTCTGTATGAATTTGGACTCCTCTAAAATATAAACCAGTGTTCAAGGCCAGCTTCAACTACATCAGCATGGGCTGCACAGGACCCAAACTCAAAACTTCAGTGAGATATAGACAGAAAGACAGAGAGGACAGAGAGAGATGACAACTCTCTCCTAACTAATTCATGTGTTTGAAAGAATAGGACCTTCTAATTTTATTTTAAAGCCAGCATTATCCTATTTCCAAAACTACACAAGAATATAATAATACAACAATAATGGGAAAAGAAATTCATAGACAAGTATTCCTGAAGCACATAAATATAAAAATTAATCATTAAAATATTATTAAGTTAAACCATAGATTTACCGATAAGGTCCAAACCATCTGAGAAGTGCCTAATAATTGCATGTTTGTGAACAATCTAAGTAATGTTTCAAGATCCTATCTCAGGATAGTATAGAATGGAAAGGGCAGAAGAGAATCAAGAACATGAAGTTCATTCACCACAGTCAAGTTGACTTCATCCTAGGTAGGGCTAAAATAAAAGCAATGCAAGTAAAAAATATAACTGATAAACTAATTCAGTAAATAGCAAAATATAAAAATAACATATAAATAGTAGTAGGTTTTCTGTATTTATGAATTTCCTAGGAAATTATGACAACTACCCAATTCATAATTGCTATAAAATAGTAAGATGCCTACAAATATATTTAACCAAGAAAGTAAAAGTTTTCCACAAGACACTGATAAAAGACATTGAAAAGTCATTTTAAAAAATGGTAAGACTTCTTATGCTCATAGACTAGAGAATTAATATTGCTACAGTGTCCACACTACTCATCCTCAATAATCTTGAAAGATAATTTGATGGAATTTAAAATCATCATGGTAACAAATCTCCTGGTATGTATGCAAGAGATTATTCAGACCAGGTTAACTAATATGAAAGAACAACCCTGAGTGTGGGCAGCATCATTCCCTGGTGTCCCAGACTGAATAAAAGGATAAAAGGCTGAATTCTAGCATTTACCTCTCTCTGTTTCCTATCTATGGCCATCTGCTTCCTGCTCCAGCCACCATGGCTCCTCCCCCATGATGGATTGTACCCTTCCTCCCTTAATTTGCTTCTGCCAGCAATTTTATTGGAGCAACAAGAAAAGTAAATAATATACAACCCAAAGTCACAATACAGATACAGTACAATCCCCATTAAAATATGAATGATTCTTCACAAAGCTTGAAGTAATTTAAACCTAAAATTTATATGGAAGCACAAGCATAAGAAAAGGAAAAACAGCCAAAGCAAAAAAGAACAAAGATTCCAAATCCCAAATTCAAGACATAGCATACAGCCAGATTAATTAAAGCAACAATGATTTTGCTTTAGACTGGATATCAGACACACAGACCAATGGAACAGGCTATAGGTTTGCTGAAATAAACCAACACATATACAGCCAGCTGTTCTCAATAAAAGTACCCAAAATATTGAAAAAAGATAGCTTATTCAATACAGGATACTCTTTAAACTGGATACCTTTGTGCAGAATTCTGAAACTTGACCTCATTTCATCCTGTACAGAAATCCTGTCAGAGTGGACTGTGGAGCTAAATAGGAGACCAGAAATTCCTAAACTGCTAGGGGAAAAAAGGACTTCAAGACATTGGATCAGGTCTTAACAGCCCAGAAAACATTTTTTTAAATGGATAGATGAGGTTACATCAACCTAAAAGGTTTGTGCACAGCAAAGGAAGTGCTGGAAGGATAAAAAGGCAAAGAAATGCTGTTATTTTGTAGGGAAAATGAAAACTAGCATAGCCATCATGAGAACAAAACTTCAAGCCAGGGTCTGGCAAGTTGGCAGTTAGGAGTTCTTCCAGCTGTTGGATGAGACCAGAGGTTGATTCCTAGCACCTGTAACTGTCAGGCACCTGTAACTCTAGCTCCTCGGGATTCAATGTCTCTGACCTCTGCCATCACCTAAAGATGTGCACATAGCCCTGCACAAATACACATGAATACACTTAACTCAAAAACAATAAATCTTGAAAACTAAAACTAGATCTACCTGATCTATCTGTCCTACTGCTAGCTACATATTCAAAATATAAAATCAGCATATCAAAGGAATTTTTCCAGTTCTATGGTACTTGTGGCAATGATATTAATACCTAGGACATAGAATCAACCTAGGTGTATGAAGCAAATGAATAAAGAAAATCTAAGATGATAGATAGATAGATAGATAGATAGATGGATAGATGGATAAATAGATAGATAACCTATCATCTTCAGTAAAATGAATGAAACAAGGGGATGTTACATAGATTACATAAACTATTCATACTAAGACAAATTCTACATATTCATTCTCATATGTTAAACAGTATTGACCTTAAAGAATAGTAATTATCAAGAACCAAGAAACTTGTTTGATTGGGAGAGGCTAGAAAGCATATACTTGACTTGATCAGTGCACACAGTAAACACATACGGAAATATAATGTTGAGACCTGTTAATTGATAGAATTGATATCTTCACAAGCATAACATTAGGAAGTTTAGTGTCCGAGAATATACTAGAATACTTCTAGTTTCTTCTTCCCAGCAGGTAGACTATCAAGTTGTATGGACTGTTGCTAGTAAGTAACCTAGATGGCTATATCTGTTTTTCTCTTTGAACACATAAACATGGCCTGTGTTGACTAAAAATTATACTGGCTAGTATATAATAAAACAACACCATTACACCTTTCATGTAACCAACGTGCTTCAGAGCTAGCAACCTTAGGATGTATTCCTTAAGCGATAAGACATGGAACATCCTGGTGTGTTTCTCATAAGCACTGGAGCATTTGCTGCACTCTTCATCTTATAAAGATGACATGCACTTTCCATGTATTACTGACTTAGGATTAGACCTATCTACATGAACATGCCTTTTATCTTGTGCAAAGTTCTCTTAGCCTCAAAATAATAAGGCTATTTCTCCCCCAGGAGGTAGAATGAGATGTGGCAAATCATTGTACTTTCCCAGAAATATTTTATGAAGTAGCTCCCGGCACTGAGCATCCACTGCTTTGGAAGCTGAGTTAAATGAGGTGTGTTATAAAGGAGTAGGCTTTTTATCTGTTAACAAACAACTGCACATACTCACTGAAAGAGTCAGCATTAAACCATATAAAACTAAAGGTAATGCTTTTGTGTCTGCCTTCGACCATGTATGTATCAAGACAGAGTGCACATAAGCACTGAGCAAGTATATAGAATTACTCAAGGCCCCTGTGATCACCATTTCTCCAGGTTTAACAGTAGTCAAAATGACGAAATGTCTACTCTAAGAACAAGTTCTGCCCATGCTCAAAAGCTGGGCTTTAGTCTTCCTACTAGTGAATTTAGGATCAATTGTTAGTCAATACCGTTAAGGCTTAGCATTCTCACCTGTAAAATACAGTCAGTAATACCTACCTCACACTTCAAATTATTTTTTCAAGTGGGAATTTTTTCCAGTCTTCAGGAACCTAGTATTTCATACCTGTCTCTAAAACATGCTTTATTTTATTTCATTGGACACTGGCCATTTTTCTTGATATTTTTAACCTGGTATTTTTTCTTATCTTTATATCAGGGCAAACACTGTATACTTGATGTATCAGGAAATGCTATTAAGCGGTTACAAGTCGCCCAGCTCTATCCTATTGCCATCTTCATAAAGCCCAAGTCTCTGGAACCTCTAATGTAAGTAGAGGATAAATCCTCATCTGAGTACCCAGCAAGCAACAGCAATTTGTCATAAAGGCTTCCAGATAGGAATGCCAGTGTCGATCATTAAGTGTTTATAAAATATTATTTTATATTATATTACTTTATATTGTTAAATATATTTATTATATAATATTGTTATAAATATGTTATACATATTATTTATTAATATTATTTATACATTTTATATTATCAAATATTATATATTTAATTCAATATATATTAAATATTTTGAGTCAATAACCCTTTGCTACTATACAAATTGTTTTCACCTTTACATTTTCTATTTATTGGCAGCTTCCTTTGGTCTAAGAGGTTTATAGAGGGATTGGGCAGTTATTTTAGCTTTTGTTTTAGTTTTTACCAATCACAGAAGACTATCATCTTTGTATTGTTTTTTAACTTTGAGAAAAGTTTCACAGGTAAATCTTTAAATGTGTTATGTTTTGTTTTTATAAAGGGTACAAAGAATATTTCAGAATTTCCCATTGACATTCTACATCGCCTTTAATAGAATTCTGAGGCTACATTAAGATACGCAGATGCTGGTTCTTCACAGAGCCTTCTCTAGTGACATGACTATATCCTTAATTCATCACCTCCACATCTGTGCAAATACACGAGTATGGGAAATGCATGGTTCTGATGCTGTTCCAAAGCATTTCCAAAGGTCTAGTAAAATACTTCTCTTCAAAATCAGTAAGCAAATTAGGCAGATATCCATGATCTGCCTGAATGCCCGTCTAGACAGTTCCCATAGAGCGGAGAGACTACTGTAGGTAACAGTAGCAGAGCAAAGAGGCTACAAGCAGAGACGTGGAAAGTGGACAGTAAGGCCAGATTTTTTTAACCAGTGATCCTTCATATAACCTTAGCACAAGTTGCTTGAGTTCCCCAAGGTTGAACAATGTCACAGAGGCTCATTTGGTCCTTATTATGTAGTAAGTGCTCAGGAAATAATATTATTATTGCAAAATATACAGGGTTACTTTTTATGAATCACTAATTCAATCTTATCTTCATAAAACACATAAGCAGCTTCCTGGAGAAAGCCAGAGCTGTGGTCAGTACCTTAGTTACAAGAGCCTGGCTTCAGCACTGCCTCCAGGAGAGGCAAAGACAGGCCTTGGGAGAATGTTGTTGGGCTGAACCATACACAGCACACTGGAAAACAATGCTTATGGAAAGATGGTAAAAATAGAAGGTACTTATTCCCAGAGATGAAAGCCATTGTTTTCTGAGGGTATCAGCTACCTGTTTGGTCTCCTCTGAGGATGAAGCTGCAAATTGGACCACAGTAGTTGGAATGGCAGCTGGGAGGATAAACTTCAAACACATAGTTGATCTCTGGGGAAATCACCAGAGTATAACCTAAAAGCAGAGTACATCCACAGAAGTAAAGGTAGACAGAGGATTTTGTCAAGAAAAAAAAATAAAACTAGGAAGCATACATGAAGAATATTAACCCCAATTACCGCATAGAAAATGTGTACTGATGATAAAATAGTGTTCTTGTCGTTACTCCAATGGCACGGGTCAAACTTCTTCTGTGGGGGGTATTTCATAAAGTTAGTTAAGTGATCACAATGTCATTGTGTAAAAGTGATTTATAAGCTGTAGATGGCCACACAAAGCTACGCAATATTAACCTTAAGAGGAAAAAAGTGGTGCTCGCCTCTTGGGAACAGCATCATAAAAGCTCATTCCAGAAATAGAAATTAGTCCACATCATAAACACACAAGAGATGGATGACTTCCTAGGGAAGGAAAGCCTGAGGGACAAAGAGCAGTGGCACATTTAGTCCAGTGTAACCCTGGGAGACAGCCCATCTGGTGCTCAATGGAAGATCTACTTCTTTCCATAACTACCAGATGATTCGTGTAGTTCTGCCTTAGGGCCCTGTCACAGGCACTTATCACCAAGGAAAACTAAACATGCCAAAGGCCAGATGCCACAATGAGGACAGTGTCTGTGGCGTAATTTGCTGCAGCCATATCGATGGATCTCCACTGCAGTGGTGATGACACAGCCTTGTACAATCTCATTACTAAAGGCTGCTGGTTGTGCCTCACTCTTTCCTGGGGCTTTTACTTCAGGAGCAGTGCTGTCTTGAATTGCCCATTCCCCAGGAAGGAGTAAAGCTCGGTCAGCTGGAACAAAAGCATAGCAGCTGTCACAATGAGACAGTGACACACCATCACACACATTACCTCTCCTGTGCATCATCCACAGAGCTGATTAGCAAGCACACAGCTGCCTCTTAGGAGGAACATAAATTCAAGGGCGTATATGAAAGAGATATTTTCATAATATACTGCCTCCTGACTTCTGTACCTACCCCATAGCAATAAGAAGCTTTCCTGTGTCCATGTACCCTATCCCCACCAATGGTCTTTTATGGCTTTGTGCCCATGATGCATTGCGTGTACATCTACGTGTCTCTATGCCATAAGCATATTTATTTGCCTCATCTACCATTTAGTCATCCACTCACTCATTGGACAGTTATTGAATCAAGCTCACGACATAAGCTAATGCACAAGCCATAAGCTTCTCCCTCAAAGAACCTGAGAAATACAGTGAGATTATTGCAACAAAGGTTCAGGAAATATGGAAATACTTACTTTATATTTCAGTTCTCAGTAATATCCAAACCCATGTTCAACTTCTTTCTTCACATAACCATGTTTCAAAAGATACCAAGCTTTGGTATAATATGACATAGTAGAGTGTAGTTGTGGGTTTCTGCTTACCAGACTTGGATGGAGGGTGAGCAGTAAACCTGAAGAGGGAAGAAGGCAAGAAATTAATCCTGTAAAGCTAGGACCCGAGAACAAACAAGACTAGTTTTCTTGGGTATAGTGCTGCCTAAGGAACCCAGATATACTCTCATGTTTCCTCCCTCTGACCACTTCTGGAAGACTGTCTTCAATTCATCACCTATGTGTATTTTAGAGATGTAGAAACCTACAGAAAGTCAAGCAAAGGAAGTCTGGGTTTAGAAATACAACAAAGAAGTAGTTGAAGGACAGTCTGTTCTGATGAGGGGGAACCTCAAGGGACACATAAGCACTCCATTTAAATACTCTAGGGCCTGCTGGAGAGGAAGTTTATAGTCCTGTTCTAGGGACTGCAGGGAAGCAAACAGAGGCCACAGATGGCAAGGAGACAGGTTCTGCTTCAACCCTGTGCTGCACATGAAGCCTGGCCTCCAGGAGAGTGAGCACCCTAGCACCTAACCCTCAATAACTGAAATGGCTCCACCAACAAGCCCAAAATGAAGCCTTAACAGCTACTAGGATTAAACTATGCCTCCTACAGGGTTCATTTTAAAATTTTGGAGATGTGTATACTCTCTTTGTGTCCTAATATCAAACCCTCATTTTCTCAGGGAGATGAATAAGCGTCTGACAGAGGAACAAGCCAAGAAAACCTATGACAGGGCAATTAAGCTAGAACAAGAATTTGGAGAATATTTTACAGGTAAGTTTCCTTGGCACCCTAGTACAACAAGAAAAGAAGATAAATTGCCTGATGCTGTACTTAGAATAGGCTCCATGCCTGGTAAACCTAGAGCCCAAAGCCTTCCAGGTGAGGAGGCCTGTACCCTTATCTGCCTTACCCAATTGGTTTAGAGCTCTGGATTCTCTCCTCTCTGAGTTAGCTCATTTCCAGTTCTCCACTGGCCCTAAACCATGAGTGGCAAATGCCCTGAGCTATCTCCTGCTATTAAGGAGATTTTAGGCATGCTACGTCATTAAACTATCTCCCTGATATTTTCAGAAAACTTGAAAATGAATGTTTTAAGACTCAAAATGGGCAGTATCTACAACAGTTACTATCCTGCTGTCTCTGCCTTGACGACCTCCAGACTTCTCCTCAATCATCAACATGAGACAAACCCGCTTGGAGATGCTTCAGTTAACACTGTTTCAAGACTAATAATAACTTTGATTTTTTTTTAACAATATCTGTGGCAACAAGAAATTTGGGGGATAGAATATGAATTTCTTGTGGATGTCCTGAGTTCCCTCTTCTTCCTTGCTCTGACGAAACACTGGTTAAATCCAGAGAGAAACCAGCCTTGAGGGAATTTATCTCACAGTGGATTCTCAATGATTGATGACAAGATACTGAATCTGAGATGTAGCACAGTAGTGGAGTGTTTACCTGGCTTTCATAAGTCTCAGAGTTTGATCCCAACTTCCTCCAAAATAACATTCAATACAACTTCCCTCATGAATTACTGGCATGAAATGAGATGGAGATTGTTGCAGTTGCTTTGAATACCAAAGGCACCATGAGGGGCACTGTGTAATTATTTTTACTAAAGTTAATATTAAGGTTTCTCCTAGTAATGTGAGTGATTTTAAAAGAGCATTCAGGTGGGAAAAGTCTAAGGGCTGGAGAGCTAGCTCAGCAGTTAAGAACACTTGCTACTCTAGAGGACCCAAGTTCAGTTCCCAGGTGGGAAAATTAAGTCAAAATAATGACTATTTGACTCATAGTTTGCACTCTTGGATAGATTACCATAGTGTGATCTGAAGATTGTTTTTGAAACATAATAATGGCAACTCTACTTCTATAATAATTTTCTTGAAGCCTTGGTGGCATACAGAGAATGCTGATGTATTTGGGAAACCCAACTCCACAAGAGTATTTATTGAAGGAAACAACAAAATGTACTCAAATCTCTCCACTGAGAGTCAAGTATCTTAGTAATTTACAGCTTAGTAACTTATATTTCCTCTTACTTATGTTCCTTACCAGGTATTCACAGTATAAATTGTAATGTGAGACAAAAATCTTAATTTATCAAATAGCTTGGAGAATAAATGGTGTTTCTTGGTAAAGGTTTTTGGAACTGAAAAGCTTAACTAAGCTTGACCTTCAAAGCTCTTACTATTTCTATGTCTACAAGACCTGAATTTCTGCCTTAATTAAAGTATAGAAACTCTACAGTCAAACAGGGAGCCTTGGTCTGAACTGCTGTGTGTTCTGCTCCAGCGACTGGCTCAGAGCAGCCATCCAGGAAACAGTGTGTTGCTGGAATTATGAACAAACACAAAAAGTGCTAAGATTGGAACACATTTATTAATGACCTAGGTCATGGAAAGAATGCCCCTTTTAAGCACCCTTGAGGTGGCCATACTTGTGTAAGCATCCTACATTTTTTCCCTCACTTAAAGGGGACATTAAGCTTCCTGATGAGTCTGTCACTGATTCGAGCTGTCCTCAACCCCAAGGCAATGCCTCCTAACTTTTACTATTTTCATCTTTGTAACAGCTATTGTACAAGGAGATACCTTAGAAGATATTTACAACCAATGCAAGCTTGTTATTGAAGAGCAGTCTGGACCTTTCATCTGGATTCCCTCAAAGGAGAAGTTATAAATTAGCTACTGCAGCTCTGACAATGACAGAAGAGCATTTAGAAGAACAAAATATATATAATATAACACTTGGAGGCTTTTATGTTTTTGTTGCATTTATGTTTTTGCAGTCAATGTGAATCCTTATGAATGTACAACACAAACTGTGTGAAGCCATGAAGGAAACAGAGGGGCCGAAGGGTGGGACGGAAAAGACATCACAGTATGCAGGAAGGCTTGGGTTTGCTCAAAGTACCAGGTGTAGGGATGAATCTCTGATGGGCTCTCTGCCCTAGAGATGGGCAGCCTTCTCACCCCAGCAGATGTCCAGAGCTGTTTTAGCTGCTGAGCTCTCTGTGTTTGCTTTAAGAAAGTTGCCAGCACTTGAACCTCACCAACCTACCCCCCCTTACCCACCTCTGTAATTGGTACACTTTGAATTTTATAACTATGCACATCCTTTGATTTCCTAACAAGCAAAGGAAATAGGGAAACCAGAAAGGAGTCCCTTTGAAGGCGACCTACTATCAGGGGAGGATGGTTGCTTCGTTTCCTTGGCTGGCATGTGCAAAGACAAGTGTGTCGTGTGTGGAAGACTAACCTTACTGAGGAGGGGATTCCACCTGGCTTAGCTTTATGACTGTCAATTGTCTATTTTGCCATTTATAAGCTGAAAGAAGGCACTAAAGATGAGAATAATTTATACAATAAATATATTAAATGTATAGAAATGAATTTCTATAGGTTAAAAAGTTTTGTGAAATATTTTGTAAACACTAAAAAACATTGAAAGACTAAATGTACGCACTCTCAGCAGATGATCAAATTCAAGGATTCGAGGCTGCACTCTCCCTCTTGTTGCCAATGATCCATTCAGAGCATCCGAGTTCCCTCCAGGTCTGACAAAGACTCCCCCTCACTCCCCTCCCCACTGCCCATGCACACTAGCACACTAGCGATACACACTTACGAAACACATTCCTTAATAAGTTGCCCTCATAGGTAGTTTTGGAAGAGATTTTTGTTACAATTCTTTAAGCCCATGGCTTTTCAGAGACAAACTCATGCAAATAATCAAAAGGGAAAGATTGTTTTCCTCTAGTTAAGTAGCCTGAGCCAACCATGCAGATAGTCAAATAACTTTGTTCCTAGTTACTTGCATACAGTTCAAGAACTATTCAGTATTCTGGCAAACCATAAGTCATTAGAATTATCTTTTCTTTGTTTCACAGAGCAACTGAAGTGTTTTGTAACAGCCCTAGTTGGCATTACAGGGGGATATCTGTCCTAAGATGCACTATTTCTCTGAGGAAGAGAAAAAAGAGAAGTTATCTAGTTGGGAGTGGTGAGGGATGCACTTTGTTTCAGTAATTATGGCAAAGAGAACCACAAGAAAAGGACGATTTATGACTTTGAGCTCAACCAATTGAATTGCCTTCCTTAGGGCTGCACCTGGACCAAGTTTATTTTTCTAACAATTATACTAATAATGATTTTAAAAGAGAAACCTCCCAAAGCCTATAAGCTGAAACACAGAGTTAGCTTTCCACTTTAGCGCTGATGGTGTCGTCAGCCTGGTTCTGCCCAAGGTATTTAGAGAGAGACTTTTTAGTGTTATTAATAACCACTCATGTCTGGGTTCTATGCATGCCCGGATTAAGCCCCATCGCCTTATTTCTGGGGTACATCAAGACCTGGCAGGGATTCTGCCACACTGTGCAGCCAACCAGCACATAGGCTGGAGTACAAGAACAAAAGATAGAGCCATCAGAGTGATGGGGCTTCTTCTAAGTTAGAACATCAGAGCTTAAAACTGAGAGTCTCTTTCCAAAATCAAGGGTCATTCATCTTTTACTAAATACCATTGTCTGCCCAGCTGCAGTCACCAAAACAAACATTAAATTGCAAAAGTAAGCATCTACCTATAGTCTTGAGGCTGCCTTTGCCAAATGAAGGGGTACCAAGCAGCCATGTGTATTTTTTCCCCTCGATTTTCTAGAGATAGCCTTAGAGGGCTCAAAATGCTAAAAGATGTATCCATGTCTGCAACTCACCAGTTTCAGGTCACGGCCAACTTCCATCAATATAGCTCTCAGAAGTTTTCTGACACTAGAATGCCATTCCTGATCCCAGCTCTCTTTATAGGCCACCGTGATAACTTCTTTGGTTTCTCCACTGAGCATGCAACCATTTACCTTATAGGACTGTCATTAATGAGTAGATGTTTTCTCTAGTTGTGTGATGTGCTTTCCATTTGATAGTATTGCTGTGGCTGAGTACAATCAAATTGAACCACAAACCATTGGTTTTGTAGTCATATAATTATTTATTTTCCCAGTATAGATGCTTCTGGATTAGCATTAGCACTGATTTTTTATGTAGATTTATATAAATATAAATACATATATATTTGCTTGACAAATCACCAAGCACATTGGTGAGAGGGTCTTTTCCTATAGAATTCACTCATCTGTTTTGTTGTATTGTCCTGCACTTCCCAATGTTGAGGTCTCTATGGCTCCAAAGAACTGGTGTATTTTGCAGTAAATCCAATGACATATATGGAAATGGCATGAGAGTCACCCAGATCACATCTGGTGCAAATGCACCTGGAGCCTTGGGCCAGACTGGTGCTAACACTGCAAACTTTGTCCGGAGCTCTCTCCAATCTGAAGGCTTGCTGGGGGCACAGTGTCACCTTCACATGCTGGGCCCTTTCGGAAAAGTGCCAGATCGTGTCACTGGTGCTATTTTTCATGCTCTGGTACAATGTGTAGCACCATGGGGGTCTCAGCTTTACCAAAACCCAAATCCCACCTGTCAGCCAATTCTTGCTGAGGCATTTGCTTATTGCTCTTTTCCATGAGATATGATGGCCTACTCTTTGAAGGCCCTTTCTCCCAGACCCAAATTCAGGAGTTGGCTCTATCCATTTTGCAAGCCCATCTAGATGAAGCTGCACTCAGGTGCCTCTGTGAGCTGTCTTAGACCCTACTGCCAGCCCTTCAGGACGGAGTCAGCGGATGCTCTGTTCACCTCTGGCTCTCACCTATTTCTTCTCGTTTTTCCTACTCATCTCCTCTCATCACCTGTCATTTTGACCCCCTCTTTTTATCCTTCCTGGGTTGTTTAACCTGCCCCTCCTCTCTCCTCTGTCTGCCTTTCTCTGTCCATCTCTCCTTTATCCATCTCCTGTCCCCTTTATTACTCCTTCCTCCCAGACCTGCCCACCCTCTTCTCTCCTCATATAGTTCTGATCATCAGTACATCCTGCTCCTAAGTTTTTCTGTCCTATAAAGGGCTCACGGCTAATTCAGACAGCAAGTCCACATGGTGGACTAATGACACAAATACTTGGGGTCACCATTTTACTTACTCAGCCCAGAAAGCAAAGCTGAGTGTAAGGCCCTGACCTGGAGCCAGCCTGCACCACTGCCCAGGCAGTGCTGATGCAAGAGCTGTGGGCCCCCTGGCACCTGGAAGCCTCCGCCTGGACTGTCTCCAGGAACTCACTCCCAGCACCGCCCAGGCTGAGGATGCTTCCTTTCAACAGAGGCAAACTCTGGCCCCAATAACTATTCTAATGAACCTCACTGAAGCCATGACACCGCCCTGGTTTGGAGAGAGATTTTCCCCTCTATATTCTTTTTCCCGTTTCCATGTGAAGCCCCTCTGCTTTTCAGCTGGTGATTGCTCTGGTGAGACTGAATGGACTTGCTAGTGAAATGACATCTTTATTTTTCCTGTCTTGGTCCTGCCTAAAATTCCTACACAAAAGCGTTTAAGTCAAGGACTAAGGCTAAATTGATTATAATAATGAGTCACTCCTGGGGAGACATCAGTTCCCTTAAAGCATGTGGAGAACCTCCTGTGACAACTAACTGATTTTCCAGGAAGCTCCATAGAGAATTCTGTGGATCTGCATTAATCATTTAAGGGCATGGGTATATATGGTGTGCATACCATGTATACACATTACCTGAGGTAAGAGTCAATGTGGTTGGAAACACATACACACTTCAGTCTGTAAATATTCTTCCTCGCTGAAACCTGTGCTTCAGAAATCATTTCTTGTACAGCTGCGCAGTTTCTTGTAGCAGCTGAAGACACGCTAAGGCCCGCAGCGTATTTAGACTTAAGATCAGCTGACAGAGTACAGTTTCTCCCTTGCAGCTCACAAGGACAGACAGCTAAGTGGCGAGGTTGACTCCCAGTGGGATGGCAAACTTTTCTTCTTTTCAAACTTGTGTTTCCTAAGTGTATCTTAACTTCTGAGTGCACCAGGTTGTACCCATTAGATCCTTTTACTATGACAATTCTGTGCTTCTCTCTGACAGGATGTTTCTCCGTCAAGCTGTAAAATGCAGGATGGGAGGGGAGGGAGGGAGGGGAATTACTCCTTGCCTGGCTGGAGTTTACAGAGACGCACAGCTTACACTCCTGTTAAGTGTAAATATTCAACACTTCCATTCCATTTGTGTAAAAAATAAAGCACACACGATTATAAAAATCAAGATGTATATTTCATACTCCGTGTGTCCGTGAATATTTATTGAATTTTCAGATGTCGGTGGAGGCCCCATTGTAAAAATGCTTGATAGAGTGTTTATGAACATGCCGTGATTTTCTTATATAAATATTAAAACATTTTCTACTTTGTAGCAAAATTATATTCTCCCAAAGCATAATTGTGTTATTTCATAAGAGAATCACTCATTTCTATTTTTATCCATTATATCTGATCTCAAAGCAAAAATGAAATCAGAGTGTTTGCACTGAAAAATATTGGCACTGCTGAGAGGAACTGGCAGTGCTGCATTTGCATATTTTAAAATATTTGATTATCATCTTGCCTGATTTTAATCAGAATTTTTTCAGGAATAAATAATGTATTAAAATATATTAAAGGTTAGGCTTTCTAAGACATGCCTCTATATGAAGAAAAAAAATCCCAATATCAGAAAATGCTTAGAATACGTTTTTTTTATCTCACTCATACTTAAGGCACAAAGAAAGGCCTAATTTGGAGACATAATGTCTTTATACACCCTTTGGCCACAAAATATACCAGCACCAAAAATCTGTGCACATCAAAAATGAAATGTGAAGGAATCTATATCTGCCAGTCCTAAATTGTTTGGTTTAAACATACTGTCATCTTGGCATTAGGTAACACAGGTATGAAAGCTTAAGCTCCAAAACAAATTCCTCCCATGAAAAGGGTGAAAATGTTTTCATCAAGGCAATCACTCTCAAGTATGACATGTAATACCTTATCACAAACTGGAACACCAATTCCAGAATCCTGCTCAGCTGATCATCCCATCCTGGCCATCACTGAGAGCCAACAAAAAAACAATGAGGGACGCAGTACAAGGGTAAATAGAGCCTCTCCCTTTAACACATTGAGGCTGTAAGACCATCACAGTACAGACTCTGATTGCAGGAATTCTATTACTGTTAATATTCATGTAGCCTTGTCTGCTGTACTCTTAATGTTATTCTTCATAAACACAAGATTAATTTCAATGATAAGTGCCAATTCAGAAGAAAACAGCTGGAGGAGGTGACCCTGATTTTTGTGTCCTATTTCATTTTCACATCATGATCTCGCCAGAAGTCTCAAAAACGAGAAGTGAATTGCACGTCTCTGAACCTAAACAGGCTCAGCTAAGAGTCAAACCTGTGTGCTATCAGATATACAGACCTAACAGGGCCCAAAACCAGGGAAGACCTGTCAAGTGAAATGCCTGCCTTCTTAATATAACCAGACACACTCTCCAAAGGGAAGGGTGTCTTACACTGGTCAAGACAGATGGGACTTGTTGTACCAACCACCTGCAACTCACCTTTCATAGGAACATCTCAGAAGCAACACTGCTATCATGAAACTGACCTCTCTCTCCCTTCAAACCTTACAACTCAAGTGTCAGATCTAGGTTTTGTCCCTAATTCCTCTTAGTATACTTTAAGACAAAGTTAGAATAATTCAGGGAGCTTTGCTAACAAAGAGAAATAAAGGCTAATCTGATCTATGAGTTTAGTGCCCAGCTCCTGATGAACTTTGGCATAACAAAAGCCATCTTTCCCTCACTTCCCGGGAGTTCTCCCCAATACAGCCCCAGCAGAATTTTCCATCTGTGTCCACTGCCAATTCAAAAGCAGATGAATCGGGTAAGCTCTCTGTAATCTCCATGCCCCTTTGCTCCCATACACTCACTGCTAATGGAAGCAATTCACTGGGATGAACTGTGGTTGCTTTTTCACAGTGACCATCAAAGAACAAATGGTTTACAATCTAGGGGCTATTGTATTAGAACGTCCTGGTGAATGGGCCTAGTGACAAGCGCAATCTGTGGACAGATTACTAAGACTAACGTGTCATTCATAAAAAGCAAACAACCTAATGAATTAAGAATATAAAGTTGTAGAAAAGTGTGTCGTGTATAAAACTGGCAAAGCAAAACAGTAAGAACTGGAATATTTAGGTTGGGGGTGGTGGTGCATGTCCTTTAATCCCAGTGCTCTGGAGGCAGAGGTAGGTGGATCTCTATGAGTTTGAGTCCACCCTTATCTGTATAGACAATTCCAGACCAGCCAGATCTATATAGTAAACCTGGTCTCAAAAAAAAAAAAAAAGAAAGAAAGAAAGAAAGAAAGAAAGAAAGAAAGAAAGAAAGAAAGAAAGAAAGAAAGGAAAAAGAAAAAGAAGATGAAACAGGTAAAATGCTCTCAGGCAGAACTTCCGGTCTGGGCCCAAGCATAGAGCAGGTCACAGGCGGCAGCTCAGCACCCAACCCCAGAAAACCAAGAGAAAGAGGGACTCCCAGGAGCATTAATTCAGGCAGCATCCCAGGTAAAAATGAATCACCCGTGATGTCTCCAGTTAGAAGTTCTAATACAGATGCTGGCCTCCTAACTTACACTACTCAGACCTTTGAAGGGCCACTGACAAGAACATCAAACAGCTAGAGACTGACATCACTAATCTGAAGAAATCCCCCATTTGGCTGTCTAAAGAGACTTCCTAAAATCGCAAACATCCTTATTGGACTTGATTTACTCTATTACAATAGAAAAGGCTGTGTACAGCTCTTGACTGTGTACAGCCCTTAAAGAAGAAGGTTGCCTTTACATAGACAAGACAAGGAGGGTTAAAGAGAGCATGAAACAGGTAGTGAAGACCCTAAGAAGAATCAGAGAGAGAAAGAGACAGATGAATGCTGGTACAAGAATTGGTTTTCAGCCTCTCCAAGGTTGTCAACCCTATTTCCTCCCATATTGGGACCATTATTTGGGTTCTTTTTGCTTTTTTCTGCTGGTCCCTGGGCCTCAAATAGGTGGACTAACTCTGAAACAACAGATAAATAAGTTGGTAGCAAAACCTACTCAGATACATTATCATAAGTTAGCTATGGAGGACCACGAGACTCAAGATGAGGTTGTTACTTTATACAAGGTGTTTCCAAAACCCATCTCCACCCAACCTAAAAGAGGGGACTTCTGCCCCTAGACCAAGCAGAGAGGGGCCACCCAGAAACCCCTCTGACAGGTGATCTGAATTCTTGCTTAGGCTGCGAGGCTAAGCACTGCAAGGGAATATAAATAAAAGTTAAAAATATCTCTCTGGGTTCCCTGAGGGACAAACCTGACTGCATAGGGGTTGATGTCAAAAGTATCCCCTCTCCAGGAAAAAGACATCGGGGCAGGTATGGCCCTCATGCCTCACTGGACAACGACAGGGGGACTGGAGCCATTACAAGGTCCCCTTCAAATACTGGAGGTCAGGCCTCTATCTCCGCCTTCGCAAGTTTAGAATTGCCACAGCCCTCCTATACTTAGAGAAGGGAGGAGATGTCAGGGGCAGGCCTGCTTACACACTGAAGGCCTAAAATCAGCCATAGGCCTAAAATCAGCAATAGGGCTGTCATACATGTATACTAACACCAAGTCTTGGGTCTCAGTGGAAAAACATTGAAACAGATGGCTATAAGCTATTGTAAACAGGCAGCTTTTGTGGAAATTTACCAGTCTGAGTAGTCATAGACCTTGTAAATAAGTTGTATTGCCTTGGCAGACAATACCAACTTAGATAAGGACAAGGGAGTCATAGGCAGAGTCATAGTGACTTGTCCCCTGAACCTTCACCCAGCTGATACCCAGTTCTGATGATATCTGTATTCCCCCTGATCACCCACACTCCAGTGTCATTCCCTTCCCCACATCCTGCCTTTCTGTGTTTATAACCCCTGTGTGAATGAATTACGATTTGAGGAAAAATAAATTATAAAAAAAAAAAAACCTCTCAGGCCAACATCCCATTCAAAAGTTATCTTGCAGTTGTACAACTAAAATTTTCCAAGTAGGATCAATTAGGTGGCTCAGTGGTCAAAGGTACTCATCACATAAACCTAGCCACCTGAGTCCTGTCCCTAGAATCCACATGAAGACAGGAAGAGGGAACAAACTTCTCTCTGCAAGTTGCCTTCTGACCTCTACATATGCTGAGGCACACATGCTTACACACACACTCACACGTCATGCACTTGTACACACAATGCTAATTAAAACAAACTTATAAGAAGTAAAATTTTCAAAGAAAATAATTTCCAAAGGAGGTGGAGTATTTAATTACTTATCATTACCATTCCTTATACTGTTGGTCAAACGATGGACATTTCCCTAAACCAGACCTATTTACATGCTACTATAAAAGGCAAGATAAAGCACACAAAGTAGTCTGTTTTCTCAAGGAGTATAATTCCCATCCTAGGCATGTAAAGGGAGAAAGTCATTCTAACTTAGAAACTCTGAACAAATCTGAGAGCACATAAAAACTCTGGAAGGATGACCGTGACATCTGGGAACCAACGCTCACCAGCTAGCAGTTTGTTCAATTGCTTACACAAGTGAGAAACTTAAACTTCTATAGAAAAGTGAGTCAATCAATCCCTCCTCCCTCCATTTTTGTTACAGATAGGATCTTGTGATGCAACCCTGGCTGACCTGGTACTCACTATATAACTGTCCATGATGTCTGCAAACTTATAGCAAGCCTCCTGCCTCAGCTTCCTATGTTCTGGGATTACAAGTGTATGCCACTTTGCCAAGCTGTAAACTGAGTGCTGTCCTTTGCATTCCTGAGTCTGCCAATCCCTATGCATCTCATTTCCCACCCAACTCTTACTCTCACCTGACTGAACTGTGTATACTTTTATTTGGTTTGGTATGGTATGGTATGGTATGGTATGGTATGGTATGGTATGGTATG